ATGGGCCATTCAGAAAAAACGAGCTTGACAAAAAAGCACTGGCTTAAAGCAGCTGGATCCTGCATGGCCAGGTATGTGGACCCCGTGACTTGAGAAACGCACTAGGCGCATGTGTGTGTGCCCAAAACCCCAAAAGGGAGGAGAGATGGAGGAGAAGGATGCAGCAAGACCATTCTTCACTGTGGGGTACTTTCTCACTTTCCTTTCACCTTTTTCTCTCTCTGGCAAGTACACGTGCCCTCTGGCAAAATGTTTTTGTTTGTTGGTTTGTTTTAAGTATTGGGTTTATTTACTTATTTATTTATTCAACAAATATTTGTCAGCCACCTGCTATGTGTCAGTCACTGTAGATACAATGATAAGCAAAAAGAGAGATGATCCCTGACCTCCTGGAGCTTCCAAGAGCGGCTTAACAGCGCAGTCACATAAATATACATGTAAACATGAGCAGTCACATAAACACACCTGTAAATGTAGTCTGCTGATTGCTAAAAAGGAGGAGGGTTTTACCTCCTTGGAATCAAAAGAGCTACCCGGGACCAGAAGTTAGCGTAATGGCTATGTCGCTGGACTCCCACGTAGTCAACTGCAGTTCGCGTCCCGGACCCGGTGACTTAAAACTCACGCCGGGTGCGGGTGCGTGCATGCCCAAGATCCCGAGAGGAGAATGGAGGAGAAGGGATTGCGGCGTGGCCATCCCCCCTGGGGTGTGATTTCTCGCTTTCTGTCTGTCTCTGTCTGTCTATCTGGCGAGCGCACGCGCCCTATAGCAACAACAACAAAAAAAAGAGCTTCCCAAGGAACTGCTGTTAAAACAGAGATAGAAAAAAAAAGTGGGGGAGTGGGGACCAGCAGTTGGCATAGTGGCTATGTCGCTGACTCCCATGTAGTTGATCATGGTTGGAGTCCTAGACCTGGTGGCTTAAACTCATGCCGGGTGCGTGTGCGTGCATGCCCAAGATCCTGAGAGGAGAATGGAGAAGAAGGGATTGCAGCATGTCCGTCCCCCTTGGGGGGTGATTTCTTGCTTTCTGTCTCTCTGTCTCTGTCTTTCTGGAGAATGCATGCACCCTTTAGCAAAAACCTCTCCAAAAAGAGAGAGAGAGAGAGAGAGATGGAAAAGATAATGGGAGTTAGCAAAGTGAGGGAGCAAAGAAAGACATTCACAGAGGAAACTCCCTCTAGGATGGGAGTGAGGTATTTGCAAGGAATGTGAAACCAGTGTGGCTGGAGCAGGGAGAAAAGGAGATAAAGCTGGGCAAGTGGGCCAACACCAGCCCACAGAAAGCGTTGAAGCAGAAGGCCCTAACTGGTGTGCAGGGATATGGCCGTGCCGTTGTTAAGATAGTACGTGTCTATACCAGCTGATGAAGAGCTGCTGCACTGCTCAGTACTCCCCCACCCCTCACACACAGTAGCCCAGCTACTCAGCCCTCTCTAAGCTTCCTCATGATCCGCAGCTGGAATAGTAACATCTCACATAATGATAGAGGGATTTTTAAAACTGTTGCTCTGAGGGGCTGGCAGGTGGTGTGGTGGTTAAAGTGCTGAACTCCCACATGTCCAAGAGCAGTTTGAGTCCCAGGCCTGGCAGCTTGCTTTCTCACACTCTCTCTATATATATATCACTCTCTGGTCAAATTAAAACATAATAATAAATAAAATAATTTTTATTTATTTATTATTATTTTTTTTTGCTACAGGGCACATGCGCTCGCCAGACAGACAGACAGAGACAGAGAGACAGAAAGCGAGAAATCACACCCCAGGGGGGATGGCCACGCCGCAATCCCTTCTCCTCCATTCTCCTCTCGGGATCTTGGACACGCACGCACACGCGCCCGGTGTGAGTTTTAAGCCACCAGGTCTGGGACGCAAACCGCAGTCAACTATGTGGGAGTCCAGTGACATAGCCATTACACTAACTGCTGGTCCCAATAAAATAATTCTTAAAAAAAATAAATAAAATGTAGCTCTAAAATCTGGTACCTGTTCGGATGGGTTGGTACCTGTACAGTCTTAGTTGTTAAATATTTTAACAAGAACAAGGAGACACCATTGAAGTGGATGATGCCATCAGATACCTATTTTGAAATGACCACTCCATCTTCAGGGTAAAGGAAGATCAGGGAGGGAGTGAAGTGAAGAGAGATGGACCAGTCAGTAGACTGCGGCTCACTCCAGCTTCTATCAGAGTTGTGGTAGAGATGGAGAGAAATAGATTTAAAGATAGTTAGAGAAGAAATCCCAACTAGAATTCCAGCCAACTTTCTTAGTGAAATTGGCAAGCTGGTTCTAACATTTATAAAGAAATAAAAAATATAATAATGTTAAATAAAATAATTATTTTTAAAAAGATAGTGTTGGGACCAGCTTGCCAATTTAAATAGTTTTAAAAAAAGATATCCAATTGGAAATGAAGATGCAAAACTACCTTTATATGAATATGAAAATGACACTACCTTTCTTTTCTTTCTTTTTTTTTTTGGAGAGGTTTTTGCTATAGGGTGTGTATGCTCACCAGAAAGGCAGAGAGAGACAGAGAGACAGAAAGCGAGAAATCACCCCCCGGGGGATGGCCACGCCGCAATCCCTTCTCTTCCATTCTCCTCTCCGAATCTCGGGCATGCACACACATGTGCCTGACATGAGTTTAAGCCACCAGGTTGGGGACTCGAACTGCGTGGGAGTCCAACGACGTAGCCATGGGAGTCCAACGACATAGCCATTACATCAACTGCTGGTCCCTGTTTTCCTTTATTCTATTAATGTGGTGAATTGCATTGATTGATTTTTGTATGTTGAATAAATAACTCTTGGATTCCTGGGATAAATCCCACTGACCAACTGATCTTCAACAAAGATCCCAAGATAATTCAATGAGGGAAGCATAGCTGTTCAACGAATGGTGCTCAGAAAATCAGATACATGCATGAAATAAAAATGAACGCTGGGGACCAGCCAATGGTGTGGTGGTTAAGGCAGCTAGATCCCATATGGCTGAGTGCACAATTTGAGTCCTGGACACAGAGGCTTGAAAAACATGTCAGGTGCATATGTGAACATGCCCAAAATTCTGAAAGGAGGGAGAGAAAGAGAAGGAATTTGGGTGTGGCCATCTCCAGGGAGTGGGTAGGGGCACTTTTTCACTTTCTCTCTGTCTCTCTCTGCTGAGTGCACATACCCTACAGCATACTAAAAACAAAAACAAAATTAGACAAACAAAAGTCTTTGCATTCTTATTTTCCTGTTAATTTAAGTCAGGGTGAAAATATGACATGTCCAACTAAATTCATCTTTCAACAAAGTGCTATTTTCAGATAATTCTGTTGAAAATACTTTTAATACACTTTCTACAATGATTTGCCAAAAAGTATCCTAATACCGAATACTAAATAGCATATTGTATTTGCAATTTGGAAGTTTCTTTTTATGTTGTTCATTAGCATATTAAACTTTCTGCCTATTAACTGTGTATGTAAAATACAAACTGAGCACTTTATAGCCAGGTTCAAGTTGTCTCAGAAATTCTTGAGCAATCTTTCCTACATCTTTTTTCTTTCCTCTTTCTTTGTTTCTTCTTTCTTTCCTTGCACTCTTCTTTCACATTTACTTCAATCACCAGGTTCTAAAAATTACTTGCCAAGATCTGATTTCTCATTTTTTTTTTACAACAATTATTTTGTACTCAAATTTTTTTTTTCTAAAAACACATTGTATATATACTCTATGGAATACTACTCAGCCATAAAAAATAACAAGACCCTGGAATTTGATAGAAAATGGTCAGATATGGAGGATCTATTGCTGAGTGAAGTAAGCCAGGCTATGAAAGAAAGATATGGTATGTATCCACTCAATATATACCGACTATCCGCACTCTATAATAGAGAGCAAAAAATCGGAGGACATGAAAACAGTGAAGGTACTTAATGAGAATAGGACAGTGTGGAATGGGGTAAGTGAAGAGAAGAGGATAGAGAAAGATAGCAAGTGAACAATAGAGAGACAGGACGTTAGTGAGAAACAGATAGGGCTTATTAACTGTTGACGATGACAGGTATAGTATTCTCAACTGGATTGGTCTGAGAAGTATTTCATGATGGGCAAAGTATTTTTACAAGCAAAACGAGAAATAGCAATTGACTGTTTTATAAAAATAATTAGAATAATAAAAATAATGATTGGGGAAAACAGAAAAGATATGGAATGTTGAAGTGGGGAGATTAATGTCTCTGTACTGACTGACATGCATGGCATTCCCTTTTGAAAAAACAATGTAATACACTGTAAATTTATATGTAATCCAATGTAATATAAAGAAGATTATGATGATAATAAAAATTTAAAAAATAAAAAAAAAACACATTTCACTTAATTCTGCTCTGTCACATGCTTGGATCCTTAACTATTTCATCTTTCTGAATGGCTAGGATTCTTTATTAAATCATGTGAACATAGCAGTTTTTCTCTAATAATATTTCCGTTATATTCAGTTTCCCGTTCCTTGTTTTTAGAGTAAAATAGAGAATCGTTACTTTACCTGTTTGGGAGAGCCTGTCTGGGAAGGTCTTTCTGGAAGGAGGCAGCCCTATTAGACAGACAGGCCTGGCTGCAATGCCCTGCCGAGGACCTGGCCTCTGTGGTATAGTTTCAGAAGAAATTCGCCACTCTTCTGAACGCCCGAGAAGTACCCAGCAGGCATTGCAGCCTTTCATTCCTTAACTCATCTTAAGGTTAGATGGAACTGATGACTATTTAGAATACAACACTGAACAAAATATTAGGTCTTTGGGAGAGTCATGATACAGTTTTCTGTTTTTCTATGCAAAAATGCGTCAGGACTTTCCCGACAACCCAATATTTCATAGGCATCACCCCATTTAATGAGCACGTTGAAGCGGCGACTAGGGTTGTCACAATTGTTCTCTTCTTACGGCTCATAGCACAGTACCTTTTGCAACATCTCTCAACTAATAAATGATAGGAGCCAAACTTACTTAATCTTGGGTCTTTTTATTCCAAAGTCTTGGTTCTTCCCACTGTAACGGGCTGACTTCATTCTTGCCGATATGTAAATTACAGCTCCTGGAGGTCTGCACTGCGCAGGGCTGCACAGGGAAGAAGGAAGACTCAGTGTCACAGGTGCCTAGCAGACAGGGGTAGGGCTACCCAGGGAGCAGTAGGCTAAACGGGGAACTGAGCAGGAAGAATGATTACTTATGGGCGCCAGATCACGGTGCTATAATGACACACCCCTCTGGAGGCTGACCCACGAGGAGGGCTTAGGTTTGCATTGGGAGACATCTCTGAACACATGGGGTGCACACACATCCATGTTCTGGGGCTGGCTGAGGTGGGGGTAGATTATGGCATGAAGACCCTGCTGTGGCTCTCTCTCCCACCACATACATAACCGTCTTTCTCTCTCCCTCACTCATAGAAGAAGTACGTACACTTTTAAAAAGTATTAAGTACGATGAAAGAACAATTATTAGATAGAAGGAAGCTTGGGAACCAGCAGTTAGCGTAATGGCTATGTCGTTGGACTCCCATGTAGTTGACCAAGGTTCGCATCCCGGACCCGGTGGCTTAAAACTCACGCCAGGCACATGTGCGTGCGTGCCCAAGATCCCGAGAGGAGAATGGAGGAGAAGGGATTGTGGCATGACCATCCCCCCTGGGGGGTGATTTCTCACTTTCTGTCTCTACGTCTCTCTGTCTGTCTGGCGAGCGCACGTGCCCTATAGCAAAAACCTCTCCACAAAAAAAAAAAAAAGGAAGATAGAAGGAAGCTCTATTTGGCTCCCCAGGGCGAGGGAGAGCACCATAGGCAGGACTTGGAAGGGGTATGGATTTCATGAGAGAAGGTGTAGTTTGAACTAGATGTGAGTGCACTGCCAGGATCAGGCTGGCTATATCACTATACCAGACCTGGTCTGGAATTGCTGGACCATCAATAAGAGTGTGGTGGGGTGGGACCAGCAGATTGTGTAATGGTTATGTCACTAGACTCCCACATAGCCTACAGCAGTTCGAATCCTGGGCTCAGTGGCTTAAACCTCACACCAGGAGCGTGTGCGTGCGTGCCCAAAATCCCAAGGGGAGAATGGAGGAGAAGGGATTGCAGCACGGCCATCCTCCCTGGGGGTGATTTCTCACTTTCTGTCTCTCTGGTGAGCATATGTCCACTATAGCAAAAAAATCTCTCTCTAAAAAGAAAGAGAGAGAGAGTGCTGGTGGGGGTGGGGTACAGGATCAGCCAGAGAGATTCGAGGTGTGGAGGTACAGGGGGCAGTGGAGGCCAGCACCAGCAAGGCAGAGGCCTGGGCGCATGCTGGGGGGAGGGAGTTGGCGGGAGGGGTGACACTCTTGCAGGGGTAAGAGGCCTTCAGAGTGTGCAGGATGTGGGAGGTTCTAGCTTCTGTGCCAAGAGGCCTGGGGAATGGTTGTTACCAGGCTGAGGCTGCAAGCACACAGAAGTCTGACGCTCAAAGTTTTAAAATTAACTGAGCAATAATTTAATTCACTTAAATAAAAAAAAGATATTTGTCATAGGGTATAAATGCTCACCAGAGAGAGACAGAGACAGGCAGAGAGAAGGAAAGTAAGAAATCACCATCCAGGGGGAATGGCAGTGCTGGGATCTCTTCTCTTCTGTTTTCCTGTCAGGATTTTAGACATGCGCAAACACACATGCTTGGCGTGCTTCTCAAGCTGCCGGGTCCGGGATTTGAACCACATGGGATCCAGGACCTTAATCACCATGCTACCTGCTGGCTTGATTTAATTAACTTATCTAAGGCACTTAATACTCTTTCAACAAAAATTTATTCAACACCTGCTATATGCCAGGCACTGAGTCAGATGCTGCTATTTGCAAAGTAATATACTAAAGGCACTATTAAAAAAAAAAAAAAAAGTATCGGCTCTCAAAGCACCTAGAATCTAAATACGTGGATGAGTGGACCAGAGTAGAGAACTCGGAAACAGGAACCTACAAATGGGTTCCACAGGATTTTGGCAAAGTTATAAAAAGAGTCCAGTGGAGAAAGGGTGGTTTTTTAAACAAATGTTGCTGGAGCAACTGGATATCCACAGATCACAAGATGGATGAACCTTGAACCTAAACCTCACGCTGTGTATAAGCAGATTTTTTAAATTCATAGGAAAAAAATAGAATTAAAGTATGAGCTTATTTTGGTGCAAAATTTTTTTAAATCCAAAGTTTTCATCTTCTATAAACTTTTTGAAGACCTCACATACAAAAATTAATCCCAAATGGATTCCACAGTTAAATAGAAACATAACTCTAGAAAATGCTCAGGGGAAAAAAATAGGAGAAAGTCTTCGGGACTGAGGGCCAGGTGAAGAGTTCTCAGAGTTGACAACAGAAGCGCAATGCATAAGAGGAGAAAACCGATGAATTGGGCGTTGTCAAAACTAAAACCCTGGGACCAGCAGAGAGTGTAATGGTTACGTCACTGAACCCCACATAGTCGACCACGGTTCGAGTCCCAGACCCAACAGCTTAAAACTCATGCAGAGCATGAGTGTGTGTGTGTGTGTGTGTGTGTGTGCATGCCCGAAATCCCAAGAGGAGAATGGAGGAGAAGGGATTGTGGCATGGCCATCCCCACTAGGGGATGACTTTTCTGTTTCTGTCTGTCTCTCTCTTTCTGGAGTGCACACACCCTATAGCAGAAATCTCTTTCTAAAAGACCCCAAAACTAAAACCTTTTGCTCCTTGAAAGATGTATTAAGAAGATGGAGCCTGGGACCAGCAGTTAGCATAATGGCTATGTCGCTGGACTCCCACGTAGTCGACTGCGGTTC